GCGAGGCACGTGCAGAGGGAGATAGGGCACGAGGCGCACGCGACGGCCGCGGAGAATCGTGGTGAGGTTGTCGCGCATGGTTGTGCGGCAGCGTCAACGTGCCGCCACACAAACGTGCGGGGGCCAATTTTTTCTTCTTTCCGTGGAGATTTCTGAGGTGAGGAGTTTTAACTCGGAAAATTCTTTCCACTCGTCCATTTTGTCAGCAGACCACCACGGTGGAGAGCTGGGCGGACGCCGCAAAACTCTCTCCACCGTGGTGGCGGCGATGGTTCGGCGGTGGCGGTGGCGGCGACCGGCGAGAGAGGAGGCTCGGCGGCGCGCTCACGACTCACGTGGCGGGATGATCGGCGGCGGGATCGGCGGCAGGACCGGCTCAGTGGCGTTCGGCTTAGTGGCGTTCGGCGGCAGGATCGTCGGGGGCATCGGTGGCATTCAAGCGCGATAGCAACCGCCATCTTTCTATCCCCTGTGCCACGGTGTGTGAAGTCTGAAGTGTCTGTCTGTCTGTGCCACCACAGCCAAGAGCGCACGCGACCACGAGCAGCAGACTCCGCGCGAAGGGCGGGGGAGGGCAGATCGCCTGGCTCTCTCTCTCCAACGACTTCCAAGCAAGATTGCTCCACCCAAGCACCACTCAGCCAACACGCACAGGACAAAAGAAAGCGCGCCGCGTCGGAGTAGACCCCCGCCCCCCAGATGTACCGCTCCGGCAGACGGACTAGACCACCCTCCAGTGCTCACAGCTCAGTTATTGAAGAAGCTCCGAACAGACGGGTCTCGCGGGGAGGGCGGGTCGAGCGACTCGTCGCAGAGCATCGCGCTCTCGTCGTCCTCCCATGCCGCCGCCTCAGACGACTCGGATCCGCTCAGCATCGGCCCGCCGGCGTCGTCGGCCGCATGCAGAGGCCCCTTGTCGACGCCGTTCGCGATAGGCGACACCTCGAGGTTGCACGCGGCGCGGATGCGCGCCCGGATCAGCGCGGCAATAGGCGCGCCCACCCCCATCGGTCGCGGGTGGGTCGCCAGCGGCCGGAAGCTGATCGTGCCTCCCTTGCCGGTGGTGTGCTCGAGGTGGGCGACGAGGTCGAACTCTCGCTCGAAGGCGCGCTCGAGCGCCCGGCGCTGTAGCGCCTCGTTGATCACGACCATATAGCGCACTTCCGCGTTCGGGTCCTCCGAGCGCAGCATGCGGCCCGGGCGGTGGGCGACGAGCTGGTCGACCTGTTCACGGCTGAGAAGTGAATACGCCGCTGCCGGCACGGGCGTCGGGCGAAAAGCGGATCGACCGAAGCTTCCGCGCCGCACGCGCAATAGCCTCGCTTGTTGTCGAGCCGCACGGCGGCGAGCACCTCGCTGAGAAACTCCTCCTTGCCGATGCCCATCCGATCACACAGGTCGCGCACCGGGCCAAACGAGAAGCCGCCGAATGTGTTGAAGAGGTAGACCATCGCCTGGGGAGGCGAGGAGGCGAGGAGGCGAGGAGTGACAGATGGGGGGTGAGGAAGGGTGAGAGAGGGTGGTAGCACGCGTGAGAGGGGGGGAGGTGCGAGGGGCCGTCTTCTTGTCTGGCTTGGAGCCCTCGCCTGGTGGCACACAAAGCCGTCCCCGTTCAGCGCGTCCATCTCGCGCGCCATCTGCCCGGCCCAGACGACGGCCATGCCGACGCACTGGCCGTGGTTTCGCACAGCGGTCTCAACCAGCTCAGCGGGCATACCCCCCTGGCGAGCCCGATCAACCACCCCCGCGAGCCACGCCTCGATCGCATGGCCAAGCGTGTGCGCGTACCTATAGAGAGGAGGGTCGAGTCCCGTCACCCAAGGCGAAGGCCTGCGCGGCCGCACACGTGGCGCGCGCACTCGAAGAGGAGCGCCCGGTACTTTTCGAACGGGTCCTCGTAGGCGAGGAACATTGCCTTTGCGCCGACGATTTCCTTGTTGGATGTGGTCAGGAACGTGTCGATAGCCTGCCGCTCCGAGGCGCAGAGTTCGTAGTACCGCGCTCGGAAGCGATGCAGCAGCTGGGTCCTCTCCGCCAGGAGCGCGGCCTGCTCCGGCGGCGGGGCGGCTGCCGTGCGCGCGGCGGCGATCGACGCGCCAACGCGCAAGAGCGCCGCCTTGGC